TGAGTGGAGTGTCCAGAAAAGCGCTATATAAGTGTAAAGAATTATTATTAACCTCCTAATCCACTCCAGGTTTTATCATTTTGACGATCAGGATCCCACTGGACAGACGTCAGGCCCACCCTCAGTATTAGTGTTGTCAGCCACGCTCTCGTTGTATGGTGGTCTGACCCACTCCACGTTTCACCACCTGCAGCTTCTTGTGATGGGAGCCAAGCCAAGAACAGGTGCCGGAGGTGTCCAGTGTGCAACCTGATCAGAGTCCATTTACAAATGAAGCTACTGACAGGAGACCACAAAAAAAGATCGTCCGATAAAAGTCAAGCCAACAGTCTACAGCGAGGACTTATTTTCTCTTAAGCTTTATATTTGACCCGTTTTTTTAGAGTTTCCTGGTTGCTGTCTCTTGATTCTGCCCGACCTACAAAAAAAAAACAAAAAAATCTTGGACAATGTACAGTCACTTGCATTGTTAAGTGGCTTTGGGCAACCTTGTTGTGAAAGGCGCTATATAAAAATAAATTGAATTGAATTGACAGATTAAATTGGACATTTTCTCTCTCTGCTGCAATGCCTTCCTCTCGTTTCTGTCCTGCAGTCCCCTACTACACCTGTAGAGACGGCGGCAGCGCTATTTCTCCCATGGACTTGAACAGCATTTACACCAGGAATGACAACAGCCAGGAATTAGGCATATGAAGGTTTATTGAGTATGTATAGTTACAATAATTTGGCTTAACCCGCTTGGCTGAGGGCTGACCTCTGGGCCAGAGGACGAGGAGGCTGGGACCCCCCTGCAGAGTGAGGGGTGACCCAGGGGCAGCTGCAGAGGGGGAGATGGGGTGGACGAGGGATGCAGGAGATGAATGCGAGGGAGAGGAGAAGACCATGTACAGTATTTATGACGTTTCAGTGAGGAAATTGCATCATCTACGGACACCTCAGGGTGATTGAACTTGGTTGTTGTCATTCCTCCTGGGCTTTTGCTATAAATCCCCTGTAAATTATTCCTTTTTCCAATCTGTTTATTTCCATGTATTTTCTCTCTCTCACACCATCTCCTGTTCTGTCACTTTTCAACCTCTCCATCTGGAAAGCGTGTCCTACTAGAATTCCAGGACAGGTGGCTTACCTTCCTCCATTCCTGCTACGTCCTCCTCTTCTCCTTCTGTCTCTTCTCTAGTCTCTCTCCCTGTGTCCTGAAAAAGAGCACAGAGCAGTCTGAGACTCTCCAGGCTGGACTAGACTGGGAGCTGGATGAGGTCTTCACTGGGATTATAATCAGACTCCACTGACACTGACAGAGCAGTCTGAGACTCTCCAGGCTGGACTGGACTGACTGGACTGGGAGCTGGATTAGTTCATCACTGGGATTATAATCAGACTCACACTGACACTGACAGCAGTCTGAGACTCTCCAGGCTGGACTGGACTGACTGGACTGGGAGCTGGATTAGTTCATCACTGGGATTATAATCGGATTCTCACTCGCACTGACAGAGCAGTCTGGAGCAGTGCAGGCTGTACTGGATTGGTCTGACTTTACTATGATCCAGATTATTTATGAACTGAGATTAGAATCCGACTCCACCGACGCTGACAGAGCAGTCTGAGACTCCCCAGGCTGGACTGGACAGGACTGACTTTACTGTAAAATGGATTAAGCAACTGAGATTATCATCAGACACCCCCAGTGATACTGGACTCAGGGAAACACTCCTTCACTCGCTGATGACCTGCAAAACTGGCACATTACAAGGTGAGTCTGGCAAAACCCGAGAAGATCAGCTGTAATGACCAGAGCTTCCACCTGGAAAGATTTGACCTTTTGTCTAAGGGAGACACTCAATCTGCTATCTAGCGCACGTTGTTTTTATTTCACCAGACTTGTGAATGTGAGTGGCTGACTGGCTGTAGCAGACAGCAGCTACAGTAAAGAAGGGAACTTCAATGTCAAAAAACATATTTTTCACTTGAACCAATGACTGTGTTGGACTTTCTCTTCCACTCACCTATTTAAAAAAAAAAATCCTATTTCTATTTTTCATGCCGATGTGGCCACTAGGATATTTGCACCATTATGGATGTTTTTCATTTCTTGTATGTTTTCAGACGCCAGGAAGTAGGGGGTGGGAGCACTTAGCTGTTTCTACAGGAAAGAAGACAGGCAGCGCCGGAGCCGTCTGATCTCCAGCGGGCTGGAAATAATAAGTGGATCTGTGAGCCCACGGCAGATATCCAGAATTAATCCGCGTCATCTGGAATGTCTGCGCTGCGCCCCGGCTGTCTGGGCCGCTCTGTGTTTCTCGTTAAACGCGGAGCTGGGCGGATCTGTAATAAGCGCACGCGGCGAGCGAACCCCAGGGGCGCCGCTTCCT